GCGCGTAGAAGCGTCGATGAAGGTAAGCGTGTACTGCTCCCCTTCGAGCCCTTCCTGACTGAGTACCATGAAGTCGCTGTAGACTTTATCTAGCGGCTTGTAGCGTTCGTACCCCGGGGGTAAGTCAGGGAATGGCTGGTGGTTGAGCGATGCGGTTGGGCAGACGATGCACGGCGGATTGGGAGAGTCCGCGGTGAGGGAACCGTCTCGGGGGAGGAGAAGTGCGTCGTCATCGAAGACTCCAGCCTTGAGAGAGCTTTTGAGCGTGGCGTGAAAGGGATGTCCGAGCCGTTGGTGCCATGTTGCTGGGTCCGCACGGTAACCGACTGTCTTCTGATAATATTTTTGCCGTGCTGCTTCGTCGTTTGCCTCCCCTTCAGGTCCTGCATCGGCTGCGTCGTTGGTGCCGGCAGCGAGCGCATGAATCGCAATTTTCTCCAGGAGCGCGTGGGGTATGCCAATAACATCATCGATGTTGCCAGCTTCGACGTGGTCTCCGGTCACGAGCAGCCGTTGGTTGGGCGGCAGACCCTGGTTGGGCCAATCCTGAGCTGGGAGTCCCGACATGGGGATCCTGTAGTAACTGTATTCAGCACCAATGACCTTAATTTCTTGTGGTCCTTGCACCTGTGGCTCTGGCTCCTCGGTAGGTTCAGGTAACTCTGCTGGTTCTCTCGTGAATTCGTAGGTTTCCTCCTCTGGTATTGGTTCGGGTGTGTCAGGGGCGAGGAGGTCCTCTCCAGCAGGTGCCGCGAGTTGCCCAGTAGGGATCGACGGTGGCGACTTCCGCAGGAGGGAAACCAGCTGCTTCAGTGTGCCCTTGTTCTGCTTCGCCCGAGGTGCCCCAGCCTCCTCCGGCGCTCCACGTACCTCCGGCTGCTTCTCCGACTGCTTCGCCAGCTTCTTCAGCTGCGGTAGGGGGAGTTAACCAGCCAGTCGCAGCGACTTCTTCCGATGCGATGGTGCCCCACCCGCTTGCGGCTGCTTCTTCTGGAGTTAAAACTTCTCCCCAGGATCCGAGCGCGGGCCCGAAGGGGTCCAGCCCGTCCAGCGTGTTTCCACCGACTTATTTTCCTCGGTTGGTTGTGTTGCAGGACCTGACGTGCCGCTGTCTTCTTCCATTGTGGCAGGTCCGGTCTCTGCAGGATTGGAGGTCGAGGTGGTCGGAACGGTGCGCAAGCGCAGAAGGCCATCAGAGGCGGGCCGCTCGAGGTCCATCTCGTCGGGATGTGACCACGTTGGCGCCTCCGTGGGAGTTGTCTTCAGCAGTAGTGTGCGGTGGGAATCGCCGGTGGTCCCTTGAGCTGAAAATTGCAGTACGAAGACTCCGTCGTTATCGACCGCCTTGCCGATGTAAGTTTTGTTATGAAAGAGTTCGAAAGTCTTCTCCTTGAGATTGCTGCGAATGTCGATTCCGCACCGCATGAGTTGAGCTGATGAAAGCATGTTGTATTGAAAGTCAGGCGCGACGAGGACGTCTCCGATGTGAATGGTGAACTTTGTGTCATTGGCCTCGAGGTAGATTTCACCAATCTCATATGCCTTTATCTTTCCATTGTTGGGGGCGGTGATTTCGCAGGGTCGTCGCATACGTCGTGAGTTGCTGATGAATTTCGGCGATCCCACCATGTGTTGTCCGCAGCAACTGTCGAGGTACCATGTATCCAGGTCCTTGTAGCGCTGGCGAGCGAGGTTGGCGATCTTGGGCGTGACTATGCGATCGTAATCGCCGGCGTATGGCGAGAGAATGAAATATCTGTTTGCGGAGATGCTCAACGGCGATTCCGGAGTAGGAGGAGGAAGCTCGAAGTCAGGAGGGATGTCTGAGGGGCGAATTTACCAGGTAAAGACCGTTGGGTCATTGTCTGGGCTGGGCGCAACAGGGTTGATGGGATTGTCGCGTGCGAATGTTACTCGATCCCAGTAGCGGAAACCTCTGTTGCGGCGAGCCATGCAGCTTATGATCGTGCCTTTTCCTTTCTCTTTTGCCATGATGAGCGTAGGAGACTGAGAAGTGCTGGCAACGGAAGGAGGTGACACAGTGGATGTTGCGGCAGAAGGCTTTGACTGGGCCGATGGTTGCTGGTTGGAGGCGTTGCGCCGTTCATCAGCAGCCTGACGCTTGTAGCACTGGTCAATAGTGTGGCCAGACTTCTTGCAGTATTTGCAGAAAGCTCCCTTCTTTCCGCGTTGTTCTCCTTGCGGTGCTCCTGTGTAGAAAATTAACTTCTCCCGCTTGACATTTTTTACGTTGTACGGGTCGATCTCCTTCTGCTCGGAAAGGAGCGTGGCTCACAGAGCCGACTCCGAAATTGTTGCTCGGGCGCGGAGGAGCGACTGACATTGTCTTCAGTCGGGACCAAGGCCGGAGTTGACCATTGAAATGAACATGTCTTCCGGAACGGTTCCACCGCAGTTTTTGACTTGATCGCGCAGATTGCGGCACCGATTGACATACGGTGCCGCTTTCTCCCCTTGCTTCATTTTAACCGAAGTCAGCTGGCTGAGTAGACGACTCATAGTAACTGGGTCTGTTGCCATGTATGAGTTGCGCAGGTGTTCCCAGGATGCGTACACAGGAGCCTACCCCGTCTTTTACGGGCGGATGCTGAGCTGCTCTTCGGGAGAAAGATTTCGGAGGAGAGCGGTGTACGCGAGGAGGGATTCGTGGTAATATTTATGCTTCTCCTGGATGGTGCCTTCCGAAGGAAAAGGTAGGCTTCCGTCGTAGTACATCCAGATCTGGGCTGTTGTCGCGAGAAGCTCAAATTCGAAACTCCACGTGTAGAAATCCTTGCCGTCAAAAGGAGTTGAAGTTTTGAGTTTTGAAGTCAGAACGAACTTGGTTTGCATGGAAGCGATTTCTGACTGTGTCCTTCGGGGGTTGTCTTGTGCAGGAGCTGACCCTTGACGATTGTCAAAGGTGAAGGATCTCTCGGAGTTGACGCGGCGGTCTTCTCCGGGGAGATGAATTCCAGCAACGCCACGTGCATAGCTTGAGCCGTCAATGCTCATTGCTTGATGGCTTTCGAGGGCGTTGATCCGTGCGACTAGCTGTTCAACGACAGCGGCGCTGACGGAGGTCACCGCTGATGGCGCGTTAGTCGTTGCTGGTGGTGGGCCCGGTGAGTCTGCAGTAGCTTTCCCTTCAGGAGCCATAGTGTTGCAGACCTTAAGATGTAATAAATGATTTTATAAGAGGTTTGTTCTAGGAAGAACGAGGACTTGGCAGATCTTATAATCCACTCTAGCTCTCATACCATGCTGATACAACCAAAAGGATCTAGTGGATAGGATAGAGTTTTGTCAAGTCTGAGAGGAGACAATGAAGTCTCTGTAATGACCTTGTTGAATAATAATGAAAGAGAACAAGATGATTAGAAGATAGAAGTACAAGGAATTAAATAGAAATCTAACTAGCCATGTACTCTGAGGGGTACATTCCCTTATTAACTGTATTGCATAGCTACAGTAACCGCGACTATTGCTATCCTCGACAGTTACCATGTTGCAGTCAGTTAACTTTCGCACGGTTACTGGATCGTCAAGGGTCACGATCGTTAACTTCCTTAGACGGTTGACCTTCGGGTGACCCTCGACATTCCGCGTGCTCTATATGAGCTATTGCGGTACTGGTACAGTGGAACATCTTCGGGAATGCTTATATAACCTTTCGGTTATTCCAACATATTACACCAAACAACCGACATGCGCCCCAGTGTTTTCTGGGGCGAGCATATTCTTATTATTTGAGGGAAATTCATGTGCTCCAATTTTTTTTCGAAGAGCGTAAATCCTGTGTAAAAGCCTGTACGGTATGTGTCTAGAAAAGAGCTATAATAGTATGCGCTCATGATAAGGCACTATGGTGATCCTGTACCAAATATTTATGTGTCACTGCAAAATCATATATGTGACATTGTAGACAAATAGAAGTTCATAACAGATACCGCGCTGGAGCGGGGATGCTTGAAGTGTGTACTTGTTCCGTTTCGCGCGTCGAACATCACCGACCCTATAGTTCCTTTCAGAGTTTCGGTTCCATACCTGACACCCCCGCCGCGCAAATCAGTTTGGTAGGAGAGTTTTGTTGCAAGCAGCCCGTTGGCCTATCTGTTGGGGCAGGGCGTGTCTGGAATGAGATTCACGTTCCCACTCACACTAAACGCCTCCCTTGGAGTTGGACTCTATGTTTTGGGTTTTAATCGTTTTACCGAGTAACGGGTTGGTTTCGGTCTGGCCTTGAGTTGTTTTATGGTCTGGGCTTGTCAAAATGAATGTAGCTAGGCAGCCAGCGAAGCGGCGTCGTCTGACGCGCTGTGCATTTCGATTACACCGCGCGGCCCCATCTCATCCATCACCTTCCCGTTCTCCTCCCCACCCTATCCATCACCCCGCTTTCGCATGAGCTATATTTCAACCGCAATGTACCGCATCACGACCCTTCCCACCTTTGTCTCTCCCTCCCTCTCACAGATTCATCCTGTGCAGTTCTTCCAACACACACATCCGTCCGTTTCAAGAATCTGCATTTGAGTGGCATTTCAAGCCCGCCGCGAATTGTAATGGACACGAGTACGACTCCGTGATAGCAGCGTACACAGCTAACCGAAATTCAACTATTTCATTTGCGTACACAGCAGCGTGACCGTAGGCCTTCGATATATTGTCGAGATATACAACAAAAGATGGACGACAGTAGAGTGCGCCTGTCGTTGCGACACGGAGCGTCAGTCGCGGATATATACGAGCGACTCGACTCGTTCTTCGTCAATCTCGAGGCTTCTCTCGCCCGGCGCCCTGTAGGATCCGCGATAGCGGGAGCGCGTCCCAACACCCGCGACTCGCAGCCGTTACTACCTCAAGCCACGTCGCAGGCTCAGGCTGCACTGACGACAAGCGATGTACCTTTCGCTCCCGGCGAAAGAGGTAGTTTTTGCAAAGCTGTCGCGTGCGTCGCCGGCGAGTCAGAGGATGGCGGAGCCGTCGAGGTCTTAAGAATGCGGAAAGTAGGATTAGTGGCGAAAGCGGATATGCGCGCGGCTGCGGAGTTGCGCATTCAAACGCCGCTCGCGGAGCTGCGCACTGCGCCCGCGGCTACGGCGGGGGAACTGCACACACCTGATTCTTTGCGCACATTCGCTGAGTCGCAAGCGTGTGCCGTGGAAGCGCGCCCCGTGTTGGCGGCGGAGCTGCGCGGCTGCCCGCGTTTGGCGGAGCTTTATGAGGTTGGGCGCGAGCTGGGGCGCGGCCACTTCGGGGTCGTGCGACTGTGTGAAGACCGTGCGACGGGCGAACGATTCGCGTGCAAGACGATATTGTTGAGCGGCGTGCGGGTGAGTCGCACAATCAGAGCCTGTTTCGCGTACTCCGCTTCCTCCTCCCCCTTACCTCTCCCCATCCCCAAACCTCCCCCACACGCGGCAAACCCCTTGTTCTTTCTGCGCGTTCCTCCCCACCCTCGTTTCCCCCCTTCCCTCTCTCTCTACTTCCCTCCGGTAACTTCGAGAAGCTGCGGGCGGAAGTTTCGTCCCTCCGCGCCCCAACTCGCTGCGTTCGAAGAAGCCTCTCACCCCTTTCCCACCCACCCACATCTCTCACCACTCCCGCAGCGTCTGCGCAATTTCAAGGAGTGCGATCCCTGCTCTCCTTGCGTCATATCTGCGGTCCCCAGCAGCCCTTCCTGCTACCTTCCCCCAACTACCGTTTTCCCTTCCGTCCACCCGCCCCCCCACTCCCCTCTCCCCTCTCCCCCAGCGACCTCATGGGCGCAAGTTTTCTCGTTTTCAATGGTGCCACTCACCCTCCTCCTCCCCAATTCGCCCCTCGTCCCCGCTTTTCTCGTGGGTAATCCTTTCCGTCCGCTAGCCCCCCCTCTTCCTCAGCGTCGCAGCAATCTCCTGGAGCTAGTGGCGCAGGTTCCTTCAAACACCTTCATTCTCTCTCCCCCCCCACCACCCCCCGTTTCCCCCCTCTCTCTTGTCCCCAGCGCCGCAGCGATCTCATGGAGCTGAGGGCGGAAGTGCTGTCGCTGCTGCGCCTGCAGGAGGGGCAGGGGGAACAGGGGGCAGGGGAGCGGGGAAGGGGGGAAGGCGGAGCAGGCAGCGCGGATGGGGAGCAGGAGGAGCTGGCGTTCGTACGGCTGTACGAGGTGGTGGTTGAAACGCGGACGGCGTTACATCTCATCCTGGAGTACTGCCCGGGTGGCGATCTGTTTGGCCTCGTTATGAGGCAGAAGCGCCTCACCGAAGCACAGGCCGCTGCTGTGTTCAGGTGTGTATCCCCGTAGCATAAACCCCCTCTCTTTTCTCTACCTCTTCTCGCTTTCATAGCAACGATATGTTTGAAGCAGAAACAGGTTAACGAAGCACACGTTACAGCTGCATTCAGGCACATGATCATCCCATAAACGAGTATATTGATTCCCCCGCGCCTGCCCCCCTTACCCTCCCCCACCTCGAATACAAGAAAGCACATGCAAAAAGAGTGTTGATGGGGAACGTGCGGCGTCTTATTGTGAGCCACGTGCGTCCCCCCTCACTCATCTTCCATCCACGTACCTCCTACCCATTATCCTCCTTCCTCTTCCTTCCCTTACATTCCCCTGCCCACTTGCTTCCCCCGTCCCCTTCCCCCTTCTTCGCATCCGATGAGTGTATAGTCATGCCCTTCTCCTTCTGGGGTAGCATACAAAGGTACTCCCCGCCACGTGCGATGCACACAGGCCGGGTCAAGTGCACCATGCAAGCAGAGCACACCCCCATGCAATGCACCACAGTGACTGCCGGCTGCTCACATGCGCCTTGCCCTCCTTGCCACCTGTCCCCCATGCCGTCCCCCCCCCTTCCCCCACCACCAGGCAGTTGCTGCTGGCAGTGCACACCATGCATCGCACCGGCATAGTGCACCGCGACCTCAAGCCAGAGAACATACTCGTTAGTAGCGGCCCCGGTGCTTGCAGAGGCCTTTGCACTGTAGCTGAGTGCAACTGCAGTGAGATTGAGGGTAGTAGTGCCAGCGTTGACATTAGAAGCAGTGGGAGCTGCAGTGGGGAAAACAGCAGCACGAGCGAAGGATGTTCCATTAGCAGGGAGGGCTTCGATACAAGCACATCCAGTGATACGACTTGCAGTGTGGCCACGCCTCCCTCGTTTCAGTCACTTAAAGCTTCCACGACTTCAATCTCCTCATCTGCTAAACACAACAACAGCGGCAGCAGCAGTAGGAGCAGCAGCAGCAGCAGCAGCAATGAGACAGGCAGCTGCATAAAGGGAACTCCCCTCCAGTCTTCTCCCTCCCCCACTCTCCTAGTGTCCCCGCCCATCCGCTCTCTCCCCTCGCCATCTCCCGTTCCTCCTCTTTCTCCAACTTCTCCGTTCCATCTCCCACAATCCTCCCTGCCACTCTCCCCCTCCCTCATCTCCCATCCCTCCTCCCCCCTTCTTTCCCGTCCACCCTCTCCCCTTCCCACCGCTTCCCCTCCTCCTCGTGCACCTACTCTCCCCCCTCTCCCTCCTCTCTGCTCGTCCTCTCCTCCCACTCACGCCACCACCGCCACCAACCCCCCGCCCTGTGCGTGCACGGGCGTGCGAGTGAAGATAGCTGATTTCGGGCTGGCAGCGGCGCTGGCGCGCGGGCAGACAGCGGCGTGTGGGGTGGTGGGGTCGCCCTTGTATATGGCGCCTGAGATCATCCGGGGGAGGCCCTATGCGGGGGAGGTCGACATGTGGAGCCTCGGCTGCGTCCTCTACACCTGCCTCTCGGGTACGTTGCAATTTATTCACATGGTGTGGTAATCTGGTTGTCTGGTTCTTGCCTGTGAGATCACACAAGAACACCCTTTGTAAGAAGCTGATGAGAAGGACATGTGAAGGGCAGCACATCCCCTACAATATCCTCATCTTACCGCTGAACGTGTTTGCCATCTTTCAATCCCACTAACATTTCAGGTACTGTGCCTTTTCACGGAAGGACTCACCGTGAGGTTTTCGCTTCGGTGTTAGGTTCGGCGCCGGACTTGAAAGGCGAGGTATGGCAGGGCATTTCGAGGGAGGCTAAGCAGCTGTTAAGGTGTCTGCTTGTAACGGATCCTGGGCGCAGGCTCAAGGCTCATGAGGTGCTGAAACACCCGTGGGTGAGAGCGGCGTGTGGAGGGGAGTGTGGGAGCCACGAGAGGGAGTGGGGGAAGGAAAAGAAGAGGGATAACGGGCAGAGGGTCATGGGGGAGGGGGGTTGCAAGACCGACTGCAGCAGTGGGATGGGCGATTGCAGGAATGAAAAGAGTCTTGCAGCAGAGTGCAAGGTGAGTGGTGGAGTGGTACATGTGGAAAAGGCATGTGTGGGAAACCATTCTGAGGAAGGCGCGGATGGGCAGCATGTGGTGGGGTGTGAGGAGTGCTGCCCTGGGCGCCAGGCACGCAGTCCCCGAACTTGCTGTCACAGCAGCCGTGCCTGTGCTGCTGGCAGGCTTGCTCAGCAGAAGAAGGCGGGTGGCGGTGCAAGCAGGCGCCATGACACAGCAGAGACGGGGCACGTGCATGGGCTGGCCAGGGGGGGCAGGAGTGGGAGAAGCGTGAGCACTGCTTCTTGTGACGCGTGCTTGCCTTTCATCCGAGAACCATCGGAGCAGAGCACACAGCATAGTGGGGCAGCAGTAGGCGGGGATGCTGAAGAGAAGGGGGCGAGGTGGACAGCAACAGTGCAGGATTGCGCTGCTCCAAGCTGCACGCAGGCTGGAGACTTGGGCTTGGGAGGTGGTGCGCAGGGTGCAGGCTGCTGTGAGGGTATTGGTCGCGTTGGTGACTATAGCACTGCTGACTGTCACACTGTTGAATGTAGTACTGTTGACAGTGACACCGCTGACTGTGACACCGCTGACTGTGACACCACTGACTGTGACACCACTGACTGTAGCACTGTAAACTGTAACAATGTTGAGTGTGGCACTGCTGCTGACTGTAGCAGCTGCTGTAGTAGGGTTGGCGGCACTATATTCAGTGACAACGGTGGAGCTGGCAGCGGCAGCAGTGATTCTGGTGGTGGTGACAGTTGTGGCAGCTGCGGCAGCTGTGGCAGCTGCAGCAGAGGCAGTTCCAGCAGCAGTCGCACTGGCAGCATCGGCAGTCAATGGCGATGTGCTGAGGATGCTGGCAGTGACAGGGGTTACAGCAGAAGCTCCATTTGCAGCAAGGGCGGAGGCAGTAGTGGTTGCAGTCCCAGGCAGCATGGTTGGAGGATGAATGGGAAGAAGACGATGTACTTTGGCAGTGATGGAAGCACTGCCAGTGGTGGCAGGAGGATGCAGGGCAGTATGCACCAGAAACACACGTCTTGTGGGTTGGCTGTTCTCTCACGTTTCTTTGCTCTCTTCTCTGTTGCTGGCTGTAGCCTCTTGCATTGGGTTGTCCTGTGGTCACAGCCAGCAAGTTATGTTATGCAAGTAGGGAGTTGCATGTGTATAACATTTCTACATTCCCCTGTTTTCCCGGCCGGCATTGGCTAAATATGATCAAGGCAGCTGTTTCTTGTGTTCGACATTCGATCAGGAATTGCTGATACTTCATTGAGCAGATTCGAGCAACTATCAGTCGCTGTAGTTTTTGCCTTGCTGTAACGCACCAGATATTGGTAAGCACAAATAGCTATGGTATACCTATAAGAAGATCAAGTACGCAATTTTGTAAGCGGTGAGTAAGTACTTCAATGTCGGATTGATTGGCTCCAACATTCTGCTCTCTCCCTTGTAGCCGTTCTCCTTGCTCTTGAAATCACCCAGCCTCTTCTCTCAGTCTTGGCTCATGCCTTCTGCCGCTCCTTGGTTCGCGCCGATGGACCTCCTGTAAGGTTGCCAGTGAGGCCCCGCTCGTCTCTCCTTCTGTAGCCTCCGCTCCCCTCCTCACCCGGGCTCTTGCCCTACCCCTTTCTCTCCTCGCCTTTCAGGCCTTCCTCGCCTTTCAGGCCTTCCTCGCCTTTCAGACCTTCCTCCCCTCCTCCGCTATCTCGGTGTAACCCCCAGTGCTGCTCTAGTGCTGCCGGTAACAGCCCCCTCATGCATTTTTCTCTTGCCTCGGCCACTGCTACCCACTTCTCCTCAGTGATGATGTAGTCCCAGTGATGATGTGGCATCAGCGGTGATGATGTGGCATCAGCGGTGATGATGTGGCATCAGCGGTGATGATGTGACACCAGCGGTGATGATGTGGCACCAGCGGTGATGATGTGGCACCAGCGGTGATGATGTGGCACTACGTGCTGCACCATGCAGGTAACTGTGAGGTAGCAAAGTGTGACAAGACAATGATGCAAATGTGCTAAAAAATGGGATGCCGACAGGAGTAAACAGCATTTGCACCTCAGCTACATTGCCACCGCTGCAGCACTTGCATCAACCCCAGCCAATCGCTTAGCAAATGCGCTTGTCAGTGCACCTGTGACCGTTAGTGCAGTGATAGTGCCTCCTCTTTTCTCGAACACTATCTTTCTGAAACCATCCCAGTCAAGTAGTCAAGCAGAAATCACTCAACACACTCACCAGCCGGTGACCGTTGGTGCGGCAGTGTTCTTTCTCCTCTTCCTCCTCTAACACTGCCACCTTGGCGTCAAGAGCCTGAAGGCATCAGGTTTTGAAACAGCAGGGAGGGAACAAAGACATACGATATTTCGAGTGTTGTGAAACAGCAGGCACTGTATTTCGAGACACCTAGGACATACAATCGCTCTTTGCCCTCGTTTTTTCAAGCACACTCAATTTGGCATCTAGCTTAGAAAATTTCTTAGGTGAAGGAATCACGTGCTGACCTGCGCCACGTGCTGCGCTGATACAGATTAGGGCAGGAGAGGAGAACTCACATGCTTAGGGCAGCAGAGGCAAACTCACATGCTTAGGGCAGGAGAGGGGAACTCACATGCTTAGGGCAGGAGAGGGGAACTCACACTCAATTTATCCAGTGCACCGAACTGCACCCCACGAGATGGTATGCTAAGTGCAAGCATAGAACGAATTGAGCAGCACCGCACCAAACCATCGACATGGGTGCAGCTGACTAATTCAACATTAATAGCCTCTACCACACAACACACTTTGCACAGCACCACATTGAACCTGACCATACCACACCATATTTCCTTCCACTGCAACAAACTCATACGGATGCCATCATTTCCACGTCCAAACATAGTAAACACAGGCACCGTTAAACACTTTCGCACCGCAATGAACATGCAAGCACCACGTTCAACCCAGTCGCACCACGTCGTTGACATGGGCGAAGTTGAGCTTCTCCACGTAGATGGCATCTCCTGGCGTCACCTTGAACTGGTGCGACCCCACCTGATTGGACAACCACGTGCCACATGTGCAAACGTGACACTTCAGCAAACAGATGGCGTAAAAAGAGGGTGTGTTGCAGTGGATACAAGATAGAGTCAAATACAAAGGAGTTTCAGAAATACCTCAGATAAAACAGGGCTTTCATAGGCGCCTCAAGAGTTGGAGAGGCTCCAAGATAGAGTTGGCAGATGAGGGGCTTCAGGTTTACTTTGAAGAGACCCAGGGCAGTGGAAGGAGCAGGAAGAAGAAGCATGGGGGTGCAGGAGGGTTGGAATTGGGGGAGTGAAGGCAACATATGTGACGTTTATGAACATGCAAGCACCACCGTCTCACACCCACTCACCACCGTCGCTCACCCACTCACCACCGTCTCACACCCACTCACCACCGCCGCACACCCACTCACCACCGTCGCACACCCACTCACCACCGTCGCACACCCACTCACCTGAACCACAGCGAACGCGTCTTGCTCCTTGATCTCCACCCCCGCCGCTTCGCTGACGTCACTTCCCCCGTCCTGCGCCGCTCACCCCGGCGCTCCCCCTCTGGAGCGTGCCAATGCGGGCTCCGCCACGCGGAAACCAATCTCCGCCGCCTTTTCCCTCCGCCATTGCCCCAGGAACGACAGCCCAAACCCTTTCTGAGGAGATGGGCGGCAGGTGCATCCGCGTTAGTAACATCCGCGCTAGAAGCATTCGCGATGTTAGAAGCTGCGCTAGCGTTGTGTCGGCCTGATGTGTGAGTTTGGGCGACGAAGAACAGCTGTGCGGGCAGCGAGTGAGGTCATAACGAGGATTTTGAAAGAATCCGCCTCTGTTTAGCTAGCGCCACAGAATTAACTTGGCGAGCTAGAGGCAGAGCCTAGGATCGATACGACGGGCTCGGAGCAACGAAGCAGTAGCACTTTGAATCACTGAAAACGCCCGAGAATTGAGAGAGAACTTGCTTATAATATGGAGATGGGTACACAAGTCTTGGAAGGCATGAACTCTCTGTTTCCTCTCTGGAATTTATATCTAAAACATGCAATCTCAATTGTAACATCGAACCGCGCGCGACTCGCGGAAATTTGGACTTGGGACGTCGAATTTCCGCGACCTCCGCGCTCACATGTTCGGACCTTGCCGAGTTCATTTCAACACACCAAATGCGTGTGTTACACGAAGTGGTAGCGAGTGTAGCGAATGGTTCAAAACCTTCGCTAGAACTCTCGCTATTTTCGTGAGAGCTTGTGGGGCTGCCAAGTGTAGCCCCCACAAAGTTTCGGACCCAACCGGGTGAACTTTGGTTGCGTGGCGACGCGGACAATCCGCCGTCACCCCAACCTTCCGTGAAAACACCCCCCCTTGGTCCGAGTCAAGGGGGGTCTTAGCGTGGGGGGCAATCCCGTCCCCCACACTTCCAACACTCCCCCTTGCACCCCACGCACACCTAAGCATGCAAGCCTACCCTAGCACAACATGCATGAAGAGCATCTCTAGGCAATGGCTTGGTAAGGAAGTCCGCGGGTTGGGAGTTGGTCTTGATGTAACGAAGCTCGACTTCGTTGTCTTCAACGAGCTTGCGAATGAAGTGGTGGCGGATTTGAATATGCTTGGTCCTTCCGTGAAGGACCGAATTCTTGGCTAGGCCAATAGCGGCTTGGTTGTCCACGTAGATGGGAGTGGGGCCTTCTTGTTTGTGCCCAAGCTCGGCAAGAAGACGCCTTAGCCAAACCGCTTCCGTACCACCACGAGTGAGCGCCACGTATTCCGCTTCGGTGGAGCTAAGTGCAATCAAGTTTTGGCGCTTGCTTTGCCAACTTATTGCACCTCCCACGAGGGTGAAGATATAGCCCGAGGTGCTTTGGCGGGTTGAAGGATCTCCCGCCCAATCCGCATCCGTGTAGCCTTGAAGCACCACGGGTCCCTTCTCGTAGTGCAACCCCATACGAGTGGTCCCCTTGATGTAGCGAAGGAGGCGTCGTGACGCTCGCACATGCTCGACCATGGGGTTGGAGACGACACGCCCAAGCACTCCAACGGGAAAGGAGAGGTCGGGTCGCGTGCTCACCGCGGCATACATGCACGACCCAACGACCGAGTGGAAGGTCTTGGCGCTCTCGGGATCCAACGGGTTCTCATCACTCGCGGCCAAGGGATGAAACCCCGCTTCCATGGGTGTCGGTGTAGGCTTGCTCTCGATCATGCCGAAGCGATCCACCACACTCTCCAAGTACTTGTGTTGGTGGAGGGCGAGGGTCTTGTTCCCTCGATCACGATCGATGTGCATTCCTAGGTAGTGGGAGACGGCGCCGAGGTCACGCATGGAGAATTCGGCGGCAAGCTTCTCCTTCACGTCCGCTACAAGTGTCTTGGAATCCGACACGAGGAGGAGGTCGTCGACGTAGAGGAGAAGAACGAGGTTCTTCCCGTCCTTGTTGAGCACGTAGAGCGCGTGGTCACACTCGCTCCGCACGAACCCCAATGAGAGCAAGTGATCGTCGATCCTCGTGTACCACGCACGAGGGCTTTGCTTGAGGCCGTAGATTGTGCGCTTGAGCTTGCACACGCGGTTGGAATCGTCGTCGAACCCGGGAGGTTGCTTCATGTACACCTCCTCCTTGAGACGACCGTAGAGAAACGCCGTCTTCACGTCGAGTTGTTCCACCTCCAAGTCGAGTGCTCCCGCCAACGCCAAGAGGGTGCGCAACATAGCGGACTTAGCGACGGGAGCGAACGTCTCGTTGTAGTGAAGACCCTCTTTTTGAGTGAAGCCTTGCGCCACCAACCGCGCCTTGTACCGCTCCACTTCTCCGTTGGGGCCGAGCTTCTTCTTGAAGACCCAACGAGAGCCAACGAGGTAGGCGCCGGGAGGCATGGGGACAAGCTCGTAGACGTCGTTCGCCATGAGTGAATCGTACTCCTCTTGAAGCGCGCGCTCCCATTCCGCCGCTTCCGCCGAGCTCATGGCGCCGTGGTAGGTGGACGGGGTGTCGGTGTACGCCTCAAGACACATAGCGTCTCCCCCTCCCTCATCGTCCCCCGCCACGAGAGAGTAGTCATCGAACTTGGAGTTGGGATGAGGGTTCCTTCGAGTGCGAGTGGATGCGAGGAAAATGGATCGGGTGCGGTTGGAGTGAGTGAGGATGAAGGAAATGCCAAGGAACGTGACCCTTCGTCTCCTCCTCCTCGTATCACTCCCACCCTCTGCCTCATCCGCGGCATCCAAGGGTGGAGGGACGATGATGACCGAGGGCACGTTCGTAGACTTGGAGGGGAAGGTGTCTTCGTAGAACACCACGTCGCGCGACACCACGAGTTTCCCGTGCTCCAAGTCCCACACGCGCCACCCCTTGTGATCCGCGCTTGGACCCAAGTACATCGCCACCCGCGCCTTCGCCTCAAGCTTGGTCCGTGTAGCATCCGGGACATGGTAGTAGCACGTACACCCAAACGTGCGAAGGTCGGTGACGTCCGGCTTCGTACCGCTCCAAGCCTCAAGAGGCGTCTTGTTGGGCAACGCCTTGGTCACGCACCGGTTGCGAATCCACATTGCCAACGTAACCGCCTCTCCCCACCATAGCTTCTCCGCGTGAGCATGGGAGAGGAGACTCCGTGCCGACTCCATGAGCGTGCGATTCAAGCGTTCGACGGCTCCATTTTGTTGAGGCGTGTACGGCGTAGAAAATTCGTGCGCGGTCCCACGCCCTTTCAACCAATCGCCGAGCTCCCGAGCGGTGTATTCGCCACCTCCATCCGAGCGAAAGCGCTTCACCTTGAAGCCGCTTTCCGTCTCCACATCCGCGACCCATTGCTTGATGGCGGTTGACGTGGCGTCCTTGTTCTTGAGAAGCCGAATCCAACACATCCGCGTCGCGTCGTCGAGGAGCGTGAGAACGTAGCGCGCACCGCCCTTCGACGCGGGAGTGATCGGTCCGCACAAGTCCGTGTGAACGAGCTTGAGAGGTTCGGTGGCGTTCGGCTTCGTGCTTGGTGGAAATGGCTTCCGTGCCATTTTCCCTTCGAGACAACCGACACACTTCTCATCATCTCCACTCGAGCGCACAAACTCCAAGCCGTTGACAATCCCCTTCGTTGCCATAGCTTGAATAGCGTCGTAGTGGTGGTGGCCAAATCGATTATGCCACGTTTTGAGAGTGGTTGTCGAGGTAGCCGCTTGAGCCGTCGCCACACTTGGGAGGGCATCGAGCATGAAGAGTCCTCCCGTTTGGCGTGCCGTGCCGATGTGTACGCCATCCGCCGCGCTCAACGCCATCATGGTCCCTTCGATGTTCACACGCATCCCCTTGCGTGTGAGTTGAGAAACGGAGAGGAGGTTGGCGCCGAGCCCGGGAACCACCAAGACGTTCTTGATGGTGAGTGGACCGCCGTCCACCATGAGCCGCAAGTCGCCTTGTCCCGTGACGTCCAACGTGTCACGGTTGCCGAACATCACGCGCTTAACGGGAGCCTCCGTTGTCACGTTGTTGAGAAGCGTCGCACACGCCGTCATGTGTTGAGTAGCACCCGTATCGAGTATCCACACGTCAACACCACCGACGCTCGTTCCACTTGCGACGAATACGAACTCCCGGTCGTTGTTGTCGCATGTAGCCACATGCGAACGCCGGTTGTCGTCGCTTGACGGCTTCCAATTTGCCGGCTTGACGGGACATTCGCGCCACCAATGTCCGGTCTTCTTGCAAAAACGACAAGCTCCGTCGCGCGTCCGAGCTCGATTGGCGTTGGCCGGTCCTCCTCGTCATGAGCTTGAGGCCGCCGCGCTCCCGCTCGAGCTCCCGCGGTTGTTGCCGTCGTTGCGCCGCTTGAAGTGACTCGTCCCTTTCGCCTTCGCATCGCGAGAGAAGTGTGCCGCGCCAATTGCATCGCCATGCAATTTCGTGCGCCTCGCCTCTTCGTTGATGAGGCGTGCCACCACTTGCTCCTTCTTCCACGTGTCTTGCGTCCCATCCAACATCGTGATCACGGTTGACCACGCTTCACCGAGGCCCGCGAGGAGCGTCATGATCCAATCGTTGTCCTCCACGCTCGCGTCGAGTTCCACCAAGCGCTCGCCAAGCTCCTCCACGCGGTTGACGTACGCGCGCATTGACTCGCCGTCCCTCATCCGCACCGTGAAGAAGTCGAGGCGCGCTTGAAGCTTGCTATGAAGCGACTTGGAGACGTGCTCTCCTTCGAGTCGCTTCCACGCTTCACGAGTCGCGCCGTCACGGTCGATGCACGGACTCACGATCGGGACGAGTTGGAGGCTTAGCTTGGAGACAAGAAAGGCAAACGCCTTTTTGTCCTTACGCACACACGCTTCCTTCTCCGCGGTTGAAGCGTCTGACGTGGGCTTCGATGCCGACCCATCGAAGAAGCCCCACAAGTCGCGCTCCATCATATACACCTTGAGCTTGAAACGCCACGAGGAGAAATGCTCCCCGTTGAAAATCGGCACCGCGCTCAAGTCGACAACGTGCGGCGTTGTCGAGAAGTCCGCCGGGAGGGAAGGGGTCGTTGGCGCATTCGTCGTCGACGAATTATCGGAGGAACCCATGGCGTAGCAACGATTGAGCGAGCACTCCTAACCTAGCTCTGATACCATGAAAGAATCCGCCTCTGTTTAGCTAGCGCCACAGAATTGGCGAGCTAGAGGCAGAGCCTAGGATCGATACGACGGGCTCGGAGCAACGAAGCAGTAGCACTTTGAATCACTGAAAACGCCCGAGAATTGAGAGAGAACTTGCTTATAATATGGAGATGGGTACACAAGTCTTGGAAGGCATGAACTCTCTGTTTCCTCTCTGGAATTTATATCTAAAACATGCAATCTCAATTGTAACATCGAACCGCGCGCGACTCGCGGAAATTTGGACTTGGGACGTCGAATTTCCGCGACCTCCGCGCTCACATGTTCGGACCTTGCCGAGTTCATTTCAACACACCAAATGCGTGTGTTACACGAAGTGGTAGCGAGTGTAGCGAATGGTTCAAAACCTTCGCTAGAACTCTCGCTATTTTCGTGAGAGCTTGTGGGGCTGCCAAGTGTAGCCCCCACAAAGTTTCGGACCCAACCGGGTGAACTTTGGTTGCGTGGCGACGCGGACAATCCGCCGTCACCCCAACCTTCCGTGAAAACACCAACCCCTTGGTCCGAGTCAAGGGGGGTCTTAGCGTGGGGGGCAATCCCGTCCCCCACACTTCCAACAGATTTTACATGAATAGAAGGACTAGGCGGTGTGACAACCGACGACCGCTTAACTGTCAATAGTGAGTGCGACAGTGCGTGCGACGGTGCATGCGACAGTGCTAGCAAACTTCTCTCTGACGGCAACGTCGCAGCGGCACCAACGGACTTTAGGCCTGGACGAGAGTGCGAAGCACTGTACAGATGGAAAGGACATTGGCGGAGAAGCGACTCGGCGAAAACGTGACGAGATTGCGAAGCGGAGAACCTCTGAGCGATTCAAATGCTAACTGCGAATCTGCGGAGTCTCGGCATCGGCGCGAGTGGCTGCTGCAAGCACGGCCCGCCGCGATTACCGCTCGCTGCATGGCGGCGGAGCGGAACAGAGAGGCACAAGGTAACTTCTGAGTCGACTCATAAGTCCGCTCCCCGCAAGGGGGAGTATGGGAGGAATTCGTGGAAGCGCGTTCACAGCATACGAGCATAGAAGCAGCACATGAAATAGGTTTGGGAGTGGTCGTACGCGGTAAAGTCAGTGGCATGGAAGTTTCAGTAAACCGTAACTGAAAATTCGTTGAAACACGAAACTCAAACATGCAGCGGGTCCAGCACTATCGGTGCAGCGGCGACTGCTGCTTGTGTTGGCGATGAACCCAACTTCCAGAACCCTCGCCTGCTGAATGGGCTGGGCGGCTGTTGGGGGACGATGCAATGCGGAAGAGAAGAACGAAATTGTGGGCCAGAGGCGATTTTCAGCCCACGTCTCATATTTCCGCCCTTTCGACCAAGTGTAATACGGTAGAAAACTGGTAACAGGGTTCCCGTCGCCAAACTACACCTGCTTCTCGCAAGTTCTCTTTCCCCTGACGAACCTGTTTGCCCTGGTGTGGGTGTGTCAAGTTCGGGTGGTAGGTCTGGTTTTGTTTGGACAGTGTTTTGGTTTCGTCCAAATGACCCCTAGTCTCGTGCAGCATTTCGCTGCTCGTGGTCCAATCAGAGGCCTCCCCTCCTAACCAAGTGTAATATGGTAGAAAACGTGAGACGCGGGTTTCAATCGTTGTGAGCTAGCGCGCATCCGACTTCTAACGCGATCAGGACCATGTCCGCGCGGGATGTGACAATCCCGAGCGGGGCGTCCTGACCACAGCGGTCAAGACGCCCATTAGAACATGCTCGAAAGTCGTCCTGACCGTCACTCTTTCTCTCACTCTTGTTTGAACGCGTCTCGACCTCGTTTGAACAGGCCGTTTGTTATTCTTTTTAGCGTCACATCTTGATCCGAGTTGTTCTGGTGGCAGTCATTTTTCGATTTCCAGGCATTTCCACGAGAAATCGTTTTCTCTCAGCCATCCTTCCCCGTCACTCCTCCCTTGGATCGAAGGCAAAAAGCAGCCATGTTTGACGAGCAAGCCTTTGCCGGGCAGGCCGATGAATCGGCGACGTTACATAAAGAGGCTGGAACTATTAACAAGGGGGGATATATTGTAATCAATGGACGGCCTTGTAAGGTGTGATGGAATTTGTGCCGTGAGTTTGCTCACTCCCGCTTGCTCATTTATTTCCACGAAGTGGTTTCTCATGTTTTTACTGTCCATCCACAGGTGGTGGAGATTTCTACCTCGCGTACGACGAGCGGTCACAAAAAGTGCCATTTTGTCGCAACTGATCTATTCACCAATGAGACGCTGGAAGACAGCTCGCCGGCTTCTCAACACCGCGAGGTGAGTTCGTTAGCACACTAGCAGCCTTCGTTGGGCATGCCGTGTTACTCATTGATGGCCTTTGTGGTTCCCAGGTCCCAAAAGTGGTCCACGCCGAGTATAGAGCCTTCAGTCTTGCGGATGATGACAAGGTAGGTACTTGTAACTTGATTGTGAAATGCCGTCCCCTTTGGCCTGCGCGCTTGGCGTGCTGATAGTAGTCGACGTCTTGCCCGGCAGGTATCTGTGATGTTCGAGGGGGGTGACACGAGGGACCTCAGCCTTCCCCCCCACGAGCCTCTCCGCTCGCAGGTAAGGATATCGTTCCGCTGGTTACCCAATTTCTCTCTGTTGCGCGCCATGTGTTTCATTATTGCGCATGTAATTCCACATGTGATGAATGATGTTGCCTTGCAGTTCAAGGACGGCCTTGAACAAGACAGGGATCTGGCCGTTACTGTAGTGAGCGCTATGGGTCAGCGCTATGGGTCAGGAGCTGTTAAGGAGATTTATCCCCGATAAAAAATCGTCCACCTTTGCAGTACAGTACAGTATTTCCAGGTGCCAGTACACTAGTCTGGTTGGCATTGCGTATGCTAAACACGCGCTGAGTTTGACGTCTGTCTGTTGTGTCCACTGGTGCAGCATCTTCTTGGAAACAATGAACCTTAAGCGCCTCTGTCGTGTCGAAACATCGCACCAGAAGCGAAGCAGTGAATCATATCGAGGCACTTGCGAGTCAACCCTCGGAGGTTGAGAGGTTGCTGGAGGTTACGCGAAAGTCAAAGGTCAGCGACCTTTGACCCGACAAGTACAGCGCGACAGCAAGGACACACAACTGACTCGTTACAGAGCAGTTGCCCGAGTCGTCACTGTATCGAACCGCAACAGCAACAGTAAAATAATTATAACCGTATCTCTTCGTAATCCTTGTATTCTTATATAATCTTGTATCTCTTTAGTTTAATTAATCTACTTTGCCCTCACATACCAGCGCAAGGTGGTTCACAATCTCTTCATTAAAACGCTTCCGCTATTACATAGTTTCTACTCAGAGTTCACCCTTGCAAAGATCCTAAGGGCTTTTCTCAGCCCAACATGGTATGAGAGCCATCAAGGGAAACTCCACTACTTCAAGTCATCACAAGACATGGCGACACAAAAGGAAAGGAGCTCCTCTAACGGCTCCCAAGGGACTACCCCTACTCCACCTCCTGCCTCTGGCCTACAGACAGAGGAGGGCACGTAAGTCAGAACAAGAGCAACGTCTACTGAGACTCCCGCGAGCCAACCTGTCAGCTTCGACCAGAGCATGATGGAGAAGTTCTTCTCCTTCATGTCGTTTTACGAACAACACCAGCAATCGGCACCTGCGCAGTCACACAACAGCAACAACAACGAAGTCACTTTTATGAGTCTTGATGGCTCATCGTACGCTCGCGGAAACCAACAGCAACAGCTTACCTTTGCTCCATACGAGCGCGGGTCCATCAGCTTCATGCCGCACCCGTAGCCTTTCACCTGGACAAGACAAACCATTGGACGCGTTACAAGTTCAATCGCAGTTTGCGCACGTTTTGAAACTACAGACGTCAAGACCTTTCGACGGGAAGGACTTCTTCACCTGGTCATTCGAGTTCGAGTTGATGATGGAGGGCGCGCAGATACTTGGCTTCTTCGACGGGTCCCTGCCATACCCAACAAACGGCACACAGTACGAGAAGCAGCAGTACACCTATCAGTCAATGATGGCGTACACGATCCTACTGAGAAACGTCACACCGACTCAGCAGCAGAACATACGGTCTTACCGAGGTTACGGCAACTCCGCGGAGCTCGCATACAGCCACCTGAAGAGCCTGTATCAAGCAACAGACAGCGTAAATCAAAGCAGGTTAATGGCGCAGTTGACAACAGTTGAAATGAAACCAGGAGAAAAGGGGATGGCGTATATCAGCCGATGTCGCGAGCTGCGCGACAAGCTTTTCGATTCGGAGGGTCAATCTCTGAAGACGCCTTCGTGACAGTCATCATCGGCGGCCTCGGTCCCCAATGGCGCGCAACAAAGGCCATCCTCCGAGCCCACGGAAGAATCTCTGAAGCAGCACTCTGCGCCGAAATCCACGCCGAGCAGCAGGACATGGACCTGCAAGAAGAACGACACAAGAAGAAGACATCAACACCGGAATTTGTGTTTCACACTCAGCGGCGGTACAACAACAACAACAATCGACAACAACCGAAGCCCGTACCTCCCTTCTGCCACATCTGCAAGACGTCAGGGCACCCGCGCACGCACTGCCCGAATCGTCAACAGTCAACGACTGCACAGCGGCAACTTCGACCTTCAAGCAACCAAGTCACCTCAACGCAAGCGAATCCCACGAACCAGATCCAAGCTTCAATGACCTCAACGGGACAACCTGCACAAGGAGCAAGAAACATCGTCAGCTGCATGGCAAGACTGAGCGACTCCTGCATCACGGAATCACCACCACTCACCAGAAGAACAACTCGACGAAACGACACCTCGCCGTGAATCACTTCAGCCGAACCCGACATACGCCGCCATCGCCCAAAGCGAGCCATCCGGGAAGGACACGTGGTTCTTGGACAGTTGCTGCGGACAACACATGTGCTCTTCAAGTCGCTTCGTGCAGCGACAATATC